ATCCACCATGACACCGCGCGCGGTGCTGGTCCAGTTTGGGTTTTTTCACCACGTCGCCACAGTCTATACGAGTCAAATTAAGAATGATAAGAGGATACGAGAAACTGACTATGGCATCTAAAAAACGAAGTGGTGAGTGAACGATTAAGTCAAGGAAGGATAAGGATAGGCTTACTGAAATGAAACCATTATGCAAGAGTCCTAGAGGGTATATCTATATAGTAAGATAGCCAAAAAAAAAAAATAAGAAATTCAGAGTTTCGTCCAGTGAGGACGTTGATGTTAAGCTTAGGTTCAAAATTTATGATCGCAAATTTCCAAAAGAGCAATTGTCACGTCACAATTACCATATCACACTCGGCTCGCCATTCCGAAAGCGTCACCAATCCTTTATCACAACTAATTCTTCGCAACAATCATCATTCAAATCCTTTCAACCTTCTCGAAATTACAACAGTGGGATATGTAAAAGTAAACAGAAACAAGGCGGGAGATGAAGAGAAAACCCCGACAACCCAGGATCTACAGTAAATGATATCGTCCCTGCAGCACCTCATGCCGACAACTTTACCACCCACGTCTCTGCAACCACCTGTCCCCCAGGAATCATGCGCACCTTCTGAAAGTCCTCATCCTTCTCCAACCCCTTGAAAAGCGTGGCGTCTCCCAGCACATCAATCCGTTTCGGCCGTTTATCGGCCTGAGGATCTTCCTCCGTCCGCTTTTTCAGTCCCTTCTCCAGCACCTCCCTCATCTTCTTGTTTCCCATGATCAACGCCCACTCAGAGTCGACGATCGGCTCCTGCAACCCGTTGTGAAGGGCTTCCCAGATCGCTTCGCAGGTGAGGGGCGTGGGGGACACGATGTCGATCGCCCACGGGAACGACTTGGACCAGAGGCGCATGGTCGTCACCGGGGTCGCGAAAGCAGGTGCATGTCGATTCGAGTAATAGGTGGACGCGATAATTTCGGTACGTGGTTTCTTCCTCACGTCGAACCGTAGAAGCGTTGTGTCCGCAGCTAGGATGGGGTTGAGATTAGGGTATTTGGCGGATCGCGTCTCTGTGACTGGCGGAAGGTCAACCCGGTAGTAGACTGGCATATGCGGTGTGTGCATACCTGGTGGTGCTCTGGGACCGTAGGCTTCAGGATTCCAAGCACCGGGTGGCTGCCAATAACCACCTGGCGCCCTTCCATATTGTGGTGGGACGTAAGCGCCAGGCGCTGGAGGAGCGTAGTAGCCTTGTTGTGGTTGTGCCCATGGTGCCCAAGACATGTTAGAACGCGAATAAAGTGAAGTAGTCGAGAAATGCGAAAGAGAGCCGAACCCAAGCCTTTAAGTAGTGAGCGAGTGGCGATGATGCGTGGAGAATAGGTGGACGAGTGAAAGCTCGTTTATCAGGAATCAAGATGATTCCCTGACTCAGGAGTTTTGCAAGGCGCCTTGCAGCAGCGCCCTCCCACCACGCCTAATCTAGACTCCGCGACGATGTGATCACTTTCTTCTTTGACAGTGCCTCCACGCTGCCTTGGCAGAACACCACTAATTTCGGTAGCGTTGTGGCGTTGTTGGTACACTCAGCGACCCGTCGGTGTGGCGGTGTCGTTTGCTATGCCGACTCGAGGCTCTCACCTTAGCAGCACGACGCGTCCCAGAATAATTCTCGGAGAGGCTGTGCTGCAGGCGTCTATTCATAGCGGCGTTCTTGATATTTTGAAGACATGATCGGCAACTTCAGTCATCCTTTAGACACTTGAAGTAAAGAATAGCAAGTAGGCAACAGAGTTAAGATTTGACAAGTTCCAAAGTGATCTGCTGAAAATATATCAGAACAGTTCATAATCTTGATGCACAGCACGCGGGTCTATGAAAATGCACTCCAAGAGCCGAAGGTAAAATAGTAGAAGCTTGGTGTAAGCACTGGAGAGTGGCGATGTACTATTGACCATTGGGAGCAAATTAGAGTCCCTCAGACGTGTGATGCAAGCCGCAGTAAGGTGTTGAATTGACAGCTTGAACAGAGAAGAAGTGAAATTCAAGTACTCCAGTAATTGTCTATGATTTGTATGGGTCTTGGATGTAGATACCGCGATAGCGCTTTTGGAGTATTATAAGAAGCTTCTGATATTGATAGTTAATTGCAAAAGCTTTCCGTGCGATCATGATACGCCAGGAATACGTTAACAGCGAGAAAAACATTTTGAGTCTATGATAATCGATCTGGAGAATACATCATAGTTGGAGACGCCGCATAGATTTCAAACGTTTGAACCGTTGTCAAAAAGTTAGAAAAGTGAAATTTCGAAGTTCAAAGTGAGTTCGGATCGAGCATGAGGGTTATGAACACTGTTGCAATGTTCTCGTCTATGGTGCTAGCCGTCTTCGAGAGCATATCCTTGAGTAGATTAACCATAGCGGGGAGCTCAGTCTATTCATAAAAACATACCCTCAAGCGTTTGAAAGCCTTTAGTTAGTCTGAGCCAAGTCCCGGATGCCACATTGGGTAGAATAAATTTTGGTTCTTGGTGGATTTTCTCCTTCAAGCTACCAGTAACCTTCAAAGACGTGACAGATAACGAGTTAGAGAGCCGAAACCGCAAAGTTCGATGTTGCTGCGACGTGAACGAAGTTTAGGTGTTCATAACATTCAAAGAAGTCCGAAGTGGGCGCTCATGCTGTATATGCACACGGTAAACGCCGATATTCTGAGTCCCATTTGACTGATCGACAACCTTCTGAGCCACGGTCTTTCACAATGTCCGACTCCGATCTGCATTTGATGATCATCACGTGTTATTTAATATGCGAATTGACCGAAATAACATCTAGTTGCATTCTACAACTCTGATCAACACCTCCACGTACTCTGTCTACTTCAACTTATATCATCTCAACCTTAGAAGTTTCTTCAATTGGACTAAATATAAACATGCTTAGCTATTCTAAACCTAAACAGCCTTTTGCTATTTCAACTATCAATCCACGTCCGCAATTTCTTCCTCTAGAGGCTCCCCCGATAACAGATGTCTATCCAAGTCTCCCGGGCCCTCCTCGCTCCCCTGTATTCATGCCGACGCATACCCTGAGCACACACATAATACCCGCCGCCTTTCCTCAATGCCCTTCTACTCCCGGTCAGATTGAAATGCCAGCTACGTTCAGCACAAAGGAAGAGCGTGCAGTGTGGATCAAAAAGACTTCCGTGGAGATGGTTCACGAGAAACTCGATCTTATTGCCGGGAAGGATGTAGGTCAAGTTACGAGCTCGGCACTGCTGTGGAGTTGTATCAATCGAATTGCCCGAAATTCACCTCCTGAAGCTGGAAAGACTGGTATAACTCTAGTTGTTACGAACCCTCTCGGATTTCATAAGGAGGTTGGAGGCATTTACTTCAAATTTCTTACAGTGTAATTAACATGGATATTAGATCTGGGAGGAGTCGTTGAAACATATGATTAAACTTACTGAAGAGCCCACATCCTCTATTCGCATTGACGAAATATGGGCAATAGAAGCTGTCTGTCACGGAGACTCCGCGCTTATTAACGGCGCTAACATACCACGGATAAGTTAGTAAACTCGATTTCAATTTTTCAACATACATCACTTTTCTAAATTGTTTCCCAGTCGACAGAGCAGATTACGGACGTGATGTTGCCAATATGTGTATCCACTATTTACCCACGCGTAACTACAGTGGAAATCCGCTATCCCTCCATCTTCCGCGTCTAGACACCAAAGTGTCCAGCGACAGGATCAAGAATGGCTATAAAGATCGCAAATTAGTTGCTCTCGGACATTCGTTAGGCGGCGATGCGATGTACGGTCCATTCTCTATACTCTATAAATACCTCAATTACTGACATACTTTCTTGAAACAGCGCACTACTCGCCATCTACCATCCCATGCTTCTATCAGCATGCATTCTCCTCGAAACTACCATCTTCCCTCATGATCCCAATATCAATATAAGGGGATACAAAATTGTATCAATGACGCTGAACCGCAAATCGTCGTGGAAGTCCAGGTTCGTTCATCCACGAATTGGTGTCAAACTCTGCTTATACTGAATTTCTTATAGGGAAGAAGCTCGAGAATCCTTCCTCAAGTCCCCAGTCTTCAAAGCTTTCGATCCTGCTGTTTTAGACGCTTATGTTAATTATGGATTACATGAGGATCCAAAAACGGGTCTTGTACATCTTAAATGCAAGCCTACTTGGGTTCGATATCCATCTTCTCAACTACTCTTTAATGCTGATTCTTTTTTCTATATAGGAGGCAGCAGATTTCATGGAAAGCAGAGTGAACAGTGAAGTGTACGAGTTGCTTCCTACCGTGGACGAGTGCCTCGAGCTCAGATGGATTATGGGTGGTACTGATGATGCATCCTCCTTGTGCGTAATTATCAATCTAAATAATCTGGCATGGTGAGACTGAACTGTATTCTGATCAGGGTCGGAGGTCGTGAAGTAACACAGAACGTGGTCTGGAGACGAGAGAAGAATACCTCAAACGTTATGATTCCTGATGCAAATCATCTTGTACGTATTCTTTTCGTATCAATTAATATCTTCCCTCCACTTTCTAATTCCAATCGATTTAGGTCGCTCAAGAGAAACCGTATGAACTTGGTAAGTTTTCTAACTAGTTTTATCAGACATTAATGTTAATTGTTTGATAGCCAAAGAAGTAGCTGGTTTCTTGAATAGGAAGTTCGGTCTTGTGGTTGGACGTTCCAAGCTTTGAAGCTTATCGAAATTGGAGATATAAGGATTATAGATACCATGATTGTGCGAAGACGTATCCGCATCAATTTACTAATACTTAGATCGTCTTCATCTCTTCATACATACAGGGGCAGAAAATTCTAAACCCTTATGACACATTGATTAAGAAAAAGGGGGAGGGTTCGATGTGAAAGTCCTTCCCCGCCTGCCTGACTGGTAGGATCATTACAACAAAAATAAGAATCACCATACTTAACAGCAGTCGGACGATGCCCATTGGCTGGATTGAACAACCGACCTCACCATCGCGGATATACGAGTGGCGCGCTCTACCACTGAGCTAAACGGGCTATGTCTCGACAAACCTCCGTCAGATCCCGACCGCATGCCTTGATTTTCCTCTCAGGACGAGACGTCATGAATCATTAAATAGAGGTTATAACTCTAGGACTTATTGTCTGTGTAAGTTCATGTATATGTATGGAGAAGACCAAGACGTAAGTATTCCCATGCGGTTTATGAAATCTGGATGAAAGGAACAGTTGGGGTACGCTTCGAATTCTGTAGCTTTAATTCTGATGTGCGGTCACAAAAAGATGTTATTGGTGCTATAGCCCACCGGGGGGGTCGAACCCCCAGCCTTCAGATTCCGCCTTGATCCGCTCTACAACAGACTTCGTAAGAGTCTGACGCTCTATCCGATTGAGCTAGGCGGGCGGTGATTTTGATGCAGCAAGTAGTGTTCAGACTGCCCAGCATAAACGACTTGTACTAGCCTGGAGACATACTCGAATCTCTAGTATGATTGATTCATATCAAAATAGATTACCCATGCCGCGTATAATTAGTCATAGAAAGTCACTTAGTTCATAAATTCTTAAAAGGATGTTCTATATAGGGAAATGCATGCTGTCCTGGTAATCATATTTGACACTTTGACTTTCCTTCAGCCGCAAAATATAAGCCAACAGCGTATACAAATAAGACCTGTGTGGACACTTCAGTCTTCGAGTTATGAAGCAACTGAAATCAGTAGAAGCATGCAAATCGTATAACATTATGAATAATAGCACAAAGCGAAATTTAATCGTAAGTTTGAGTCTTGTAATCTGTTACAACTTACAAACTTTAAATGATAAAGAGAAAAAACAAAAACGTTATAGCGTATACCTCATAGAGCTCGACGATGGATCAGGACCCTCAGCCTTCAGATTCAGCTTTAGAACGCAGGAAGTAGAACTAATGCCAGAGTCTGACACTGTAGCTGATTGAGCTAGACGGGTGGTACTATTCTGACAGACGCGACATTAAAACGAAGCGCACTGGAAGGTACTTATTGCATATCAATGTTCGCGGCCAGCAATGAGCTTCGATGCAAGTCTTGGGTGCTCACTTATATCCCATTTACTCATTATTTCCGTGTTAGAATAACGAGCGCTACACCGCTTATTCTAATTTAGCTTTCTGCGATAATGGCATCCGCAGTATGTTTTATTACTTATTTCTCCCCTTGATACACATACATTTATTTATCTTTCATTCTTATGGCACTCTAGGCTGTGTTTATCATTTCTATTTTTTTGCCTTAATTGTCTACTTCAAAGTATATAAATAGTATTAAATTGTAACGAATACCTTGCGCGTTTGCGAGGGTCAATGTTTAAAAACCCGAACTAAGCAAGACTGCTTCGTTTATTTCAACATTCTGTAGGCTTTGTATAAAGGAAGTTCGGCATATGGAAGTACATGCTGTTATCCTGCCACTCGTTAACTCATACAAAAAAAATGCAACTCAAAAAGGATATGTCAGTGGTTCGCCACAAACCCATAGTGAAAGGCACGGGGCGATGGCGTAGTTGGTTATCGCATCTGTCTTACAATCGTAAGGTTCACAGAAGGTCCTCAGTTCGAGCCTGGGTCGTCTCATTTTGTAAGATGTTGCTATCTTCTTCTAAACTTTGTCATAATCATATACTTAAGTACTCGTACTCTAGGTCCACGAGACACCACTTTCTCACGCGTCGAGCGCTCCTCGCGTATTTTAGTAGTCGGAGGATATCCCGACAGTGCTCGTAGAGCGAGCAGATTCAATTGGATTCCACCAGGAGAGATGTAAAAACAATTGAAGAACGATAAGAAGTGGTCACCAAGAGCCTCGTGGCCATGGCGGCGGCGGCAATCTCAGGTGCGTCACGAAGAGATTTCGTTTCCGTTTCGGACCTTCGGTCCACACATTATTTGCACATGTATCAATTGGAGGCTGTTCGAGAGCCTCCGAATGAATGCAGAACTTTAGACCTTCGATACGTTTCTAAAGCAATATAAAATACGGTCAAAGATTGCTATAGAATAGAACTGAGTGAAATGTAATAGGGAGCGGTTGGGGAGTTTACGCGTTGTTGATGTCGTCTAGCTAGCGCCAATAAGCCGGGGCCGCGCTTTACGTGAGACTTGCTGACCTGACAGCCGGATTTGTGCTGGGGTTGGCCTCTTTAGGCGCTAAGAAATTTCAACCCCCACGACACGACTAAGGCGACGACGATCTTTCTGAGCGTCCTGTGAGCGTCCCCCGTCTCCACTTTCCGTTCATCTCAGTGTGCGCATCCTCTTCACTGTTGCCACAACGAACGCACGGCGTTCAAGTCACACACGACCTCAGCATGCCTATGAGCTCGCCCCTGCCATCACCCATGGCTCTTAACAAGCCCCAGTCGCCGTCCATGTTCAAGAAACGTTCAACGCAGTCGCTCGCACCGACATCTGCAGCTTCGTACCTCTCTGCGCTCTCCCAGGCAGACGCACGTGCACGTAACGGCAACCCCACGTCCTCACCTACCTCCACACCAGCCCTGTCACTTTCCTCCTCCGTAACGTCCTCCTCTGAAGATACTGTCCTCAACGAATTCGAGCTTGACAACGTAGACGGCCTATCTCTCCCCATGCACCCACCCACCTCAGAGCAGGTATTCACGACCGTGCACTCCGAGTTTGGCCACTGTGCGAACGAGGAGTACCGACTTACCTCGCAGCACACGCCAGGAGCCCTGGTAACAGGTCATGTCGACCAGGATCCGCCGTATTATATCCTGCTATCGACATATATCAGCTACCTTATCCTCATTGTCCTCGGTCATATCCGCGATTTCATTGGAAAACGTCTCAAGTCGGGGGCGTACAAACATCTTATGCCTCGAGATGTAAGTGTCATTCGTTCATTCTATGTTTTCCAGAGGGCCCCCAACCGTCTATCAGAGTGCAGCTGCGGCTTCCTTGGTGGGCGCGTAGCATCGTGATAGCGGTCTCTTGACATCACCCATCTGTCTCCTAACACTGTTGATCACGCTCGACGTGATTGGATGAGCAATGTACCGTCTAGACGCGTCGAAACCTGCGAGCGTTTTCTCTTCCCGTTCCCGCCCTGCACCGAATGGACTCATGTTGTCCTTACTTTCTGGATTCGTGCTTCGACTTCTCTGTCAAGCTCGGTTGTTTTTGGTACTTCCATTCCCGTTGCTAATTCGGAGCCTCGGGATTGCCCAATGGAGGTTGTTCTATTTATATCCCACGCCTCCCTCCGTCGTCTCAATCACCTACTAACCAACCTTCCTTCCATAGGGTTACGCACCCCTCAACTCCGACTTCGATTCCTTCTACACTCGTCGTCTTAAAACACGCATGGACGAATGTTTCTCCCAGCCCGTCACCGGTGTCGCTGGGCGCACTATTCTCCTCCTTGACCGCATCTCCCCAGACTACAACCACACACAAATCTTCACTGGCACACGCACCCGTGCGCTCAACATCTCATCTTACAACTACCTTGGCTTCGCGCAGGGACGAGGTGGGTGTGCGGATGCAGTGGAAGAGAGTATCAAGCGGTATGGTATTTCGTCCTGTGGATCACGCTTGGAGGGTGGCTCGAGCGACTTACACACCGCTTCTGAGGCGCTTGTGGCACGATTCGTGGGTATGGAAGATGCATTGATCAGCTCGATGGGATTCGCAACGAACTCGACTATCATCCCCGCCCTAGTGGGAAAGGGGTGTCTTGTCATTTCGGACGAACTGAATCATGCCAGTATTCGTTTTGGTGTGAGGATTAGCGGGGCGGTAGTCAGGATGTTTAAGCATAATGACATGAAGAGCTTAGAAAACTTGCTGAAGGAGGTGATCAGCCAGGGTCAGCCGAAGACGCATAGGCCGTGGAAAAAAATTCTGATAATTGTGGAGGGATTGTACAGTATGGAAGGCACACTTGTTAATCTACCTGCGATTATAGAGTTGAAGAAGAAGTACAAGGTGCGTTTGACATCGTTAGACTACAGCTTCGTTTCCTAATACCCGCACAGTTCTACCTCTTCGTCGACGAAGCTCACTCAATCGGTGCCCTTGGCCCGCATGGTCGTGGTGTCGCAGACTATTTCAACATCAACCCCCGCTCAATAGACGTCCTCATGGGCACCTTCACCAAATCGTTCGGTGCTGCTGGTGGTTACATCGCCGGCAGCAAGACCCTCATCGACCGGCTGCGAGTGTATGGCCACTCAGGACCTTATGCAGAAGCCATGACACCGCCTGTGCTCACTCAAGTTATAGCCAGCATGGCGAGCATCATGGGTGTTTCTGCTCCTTCCCCTACATCTTCGTTGAACTCAACACTACGATTGACTGTGGGTGACGCATATAACCACCCGGGCCCCGCACCTTCATCATCTCTTCCTTTATGGCTCTCTCTCCCTCCTTCCCTCTTATCAGGTACCGAAGGTGACACCCGCATCCGTCGCCTCGCATTCAACTCCCGATACCTCCACAACGGACTCATCAAGCTTGGCTTCATCACATACGGGCACCCTGCCTCCCCTATTGTCCCCATCCTCTTGTTCAACCCCGGTAAAATGAACATGTTCCATCGTATGATGAAGGACCGCCAGACACCTATCGTGGTAGTGGTGGTGGCGTATCCTGCGACGCCCCTCGTTACCAGTCGGGTGCGGTTCTGTGTCAGTGCGGCGCATACGAAGGATGATATTGACTGTGTCCTGCGCGCGTGTGATGATATCGGGGATGTGTTGGATTTGAAGCATGGGATACCGAAAGGGGAGAGGTGGACGATTGAGGATGTTGTGAGTCGGGCGGCGGATGTTGCGAACCTTTGAGTCCTCCGTTGATCGGTGACGAGTCAGAGGTAGAGAGAAGGCATATCCGGCTAATTTATTCATTCAAGATTGGGGGAAAGTATCGAAGTGTTCTATCCCTTATCTCTTACTGTTTCTTACTGCATAGATAAACCAACAAGTAGAATTATGGAGACTATGATGACGGCAGCGAGGATGACTTGCTTTTTTAAAATTACAATTACATACTTTGCATATACTACAGTTTATACACATGCCTTCGAGTCCTATTACTCATTCTTTGTACTTCGTCTTGCTTGCCCACATGTGAAACTCATTACGTGTTGTGGTTTGAAGTGGTCAATGGTTATGTTTACGTTTCTCATTGCAACCGCGGAAGCAAGAACTACAAGAGAATTAATCACCAAACACTATCAACTGGAAATCGTGGATGCATTTCAAATAGCCCCAAATTTTTCGTTCCTCCGACTTCTTAGCACACTACTAACTGCCTAATTTCTGACGTCAATTTAATCTTCGTTGGATGATTCTTGGGCAGTGATACTGAATCATGCATGCCTATCGGAGACAATCTTAGTTGTCAAACCATCACAGCAATCATTCAATCCAAATAATTGGCGGTATAGCTAACTGATGGCTTCACCTCCTCGTGGTCCTCTCGTTGGGAGCTGGAGGGTGGGAGCAAGATGGGAACGATAATTTAAAAAAATCTATTTGGAGCCTAAAAAGTGAATATGTAAAGACAAGATTTGTCATGCGCCGAATGTGCAATAGAGACGCGTGGGGAGAATTATATTTCCAACATGGTTACGTGCGAATCAGGGATGTTGTACAGAAACTATTGTGCAGATCTTCCCACGGGAACGCTAAGTATTTCGCCCACAGATCCATTCCTTAACTGCTACTTGACTCCCTCTATATCAACTAAGAATGACTCAACATGGAAGAACTCCCGAAATAGTATGGTTTACTACTTCGCATTTCGATTCCAGTAGAATTAACACTCTAACCTTACAGGAAACACAACATCTATATACCCTTTCGGCGTCGGAGAGCATGCGTTCAGATGCATCCGCAGATACAAAGGTAATAGTTCTCCGTACAACACTCGCGTGACACGACAATTATCTGAAATCCAAAGGAACAGCAATTGCCGTCTCCGAGTTCTAATTCAGCTGCGTCTTCCTCGGCCCGTAGTTCACACACTGCAGAGAACATAAATACAATGAATGAAGAGCCTGACGTGCGTTGCTCTGTATTGACTCGAATGTCCGACTTGCTTACAGTCGCAGTTCGTACCATGGCGTAACGGCGATCCGTTCCAATATCCGATACCTAAAGACGGTGATCCATGGGAGACGTGCCATAAGGCTGTCAAGAAGTACGATGACGCGATGTGCACAGCTTGGAAGGATGAAGTTCAGAATTTGCTCATTTTCGTATGCTACTTAAAATCTTTCTTGTTGGGCAATCTCTGATACTTTTTTCTAGGCTGGCCTTTTCTCGGCCGTCGTCACGGCCTTCGTCGTCGAATCGTATAAAGTGTTGGCAGATCCTATTGATGACTCTACCCGCCTTCTTGCCCAAATCGCTGTCGAGCTAGCGTCTATCAATGGCCGAAACACTACCACGACTACACCAATCAATACCCCTCAAGAGAATTTCTCGCCATCTGCATTCGCTGTTCGACTCAATACATTTTGGTTCCTCAGCTTGACACTCAGCCTGGCTACTGTCATGCTTGGTATCTTGGCTTTGCAATGGATACGAGAATATGAGCGATATGAAGCA